GGTGACCAAGGCCCCAGATCAACGCTTCCTGGCAATATCGCCATCGACAATATTCATTTGAACGCCCAGCCATTTGATGTTTATGACTTCTGCTGACCTTGTCCAGCTCTTCCTCCTTCAGAGCCAATGCCAGCTCATTGTTATCCATGAATGACGAGTAAGCGACATCGAGAGGAACCGAACCTCTGAACAAAATGACACGTTTTTGAGGAAGCGTGTTGAGTAGCAGATGAAAAATTATGGAACATAATTCTGGGAATACGAACAAATCAATTGGATACCTTAGACTTGGCCTTGCTAGTAGCATTGTGGCGTTGTCGAGGAGGAATGATAGATGTTCAAACATAGCCTTCTGATTTTGGCGTGATGTACGACAGAAGTAGCACAGGAATCTCGAACACGCTACTACCATCTCGGAAGAGTCCTGAACAGAGCCTGATATAACTGCGCCATAGGGCTTATTCACGGAATAATGGCAAGTAGAGGCTTTCTGATTAAAATTTTCTTTTCGTGTGATTGTGGGTATGTTGTACACGTGTAGATCATGTGCTATTTCGGTCTATCTGAAAGATTTTGTCAAAGCGTGAATGTATTCTTAGCTGTCTGTGTTTTACAGATGTAAATAAAGGAAAGAGCTCTAGTGAATCTGAAACTGCTTCGGAAGATAAGTTCGAGGGGTTAAATGAAAGAAGTTGTCAAGAACAGGACAGGACGAGGTAATTTGCTTAGTAGGCCGCATCCGGATTGGTGAGGCCGCATTAAGGGTCCTACAGTTGAAAGTCGTAGATGATAGGTTATCACCAAGGACGGACAAGTCGACAGATTGTTACTCGTTTATTAGTTACACTATTTCCTCCCTTCGGTCGCCGTCCAGTTCTCTGACAGCTCTAGACCACGTAGGCAGTTCTGTTGAACTCATCGCCTGATCAGTCCCTATTCAACATCGGCTGAAGTTGAACACTAACGTTTTCGAAATGCTAAATGATGCGATCGGAGCGCTGACTTTACGAGAAGCCGAAGATAGCAGTTAGGGGTTCCAGAAAGGTAAGGCAAACCCATTGCTGCCGCAACCCATGACTAACCTTGATGGGTGTTTTCTCCTTGACTTCTTCGCCCTCATGCTCAACAGCGCCCTGTTGGGCGGTCAGAATGTTCATCATTATGGACATCACATTCTCATGTACAGACAGAAGTCGCATCAAATCCGGATGTTGGAAGAAAATCCGGTTATTCATCAGTTTCCTGTAAATGATATTGGATAAATACTTCATGTAATCGATAAAGCATCATCATGTGCTTGCTACCTTAGGAAAAGCCATTAGATCAGATAGTATTCAGTCGTAAAGGTAGTATGTAAAACAGTCAGAAACATACTAACCATCGAGTGGCCATATGTTCTGATTGAAGACAAATGCATAGCACATCCCAAGAAGGGACTGATTACTCTTAACCCTTAATCCTACACCGTTTCTCACACGAATAAACCCCACCGAGAGCTATAAGTCTGGGAGCGCTTGCGATCTCCCCAAGTTCCAGCTCCTCCGTTGACAGGATGCACGTCTGCCGCCCCTATGTCTCTGCTTACTCACTCGCTAGTACTTCACACTCTAGCGGTTGGCTAGCCCACTTTATCAGCGGGTCTTCGAAGTAAGTTCGCAAGGGTGAGGCTGATTTTCTTGAACAGGGACTTTATACTTGTTAGGCAGATTTCTACTTTATAAGGGAGGAAGAGCGAAACGACGAGGTTTTTCGCTACATTTCAAATTGCTTGGTGAAGTTTTTCTCGGAATTGGTCCCACTTTCAGAATCGTGGTAGTTTTATTTGCGTATACCTACACAGACCTAAACATAGAAGCTACATTTGCAATCAGCCTTGCGAATTTGATCCTCGGTTCATGGCGTACCCGGTACGCCAGGGTAGCTCTGCCTACTTTCCGCTTTCATCTACCCCTGTCTTATTCCGAGGATTTTCGTTTCCTTACACTTTCATTATTAGGCGAAAACTAACCCAAAGACCGCGTTTCAGAATTCGCCTCTTCGGTGTGCTCGAACTGAACAGTCAGCAACTCTCTAATCTGGATCAGATAGATAATGAAGTCTTGCACATCTTCGTTGTTCCTCTCATGCAGCACGTACGTTTGTGCCATAGCGTCTTGGAGCTGAACGAGACCTTTATAAATCAATATATCGATTGCAGGACTGAGCTGTTATCACCTCTCTCACGCCGAATACTGCCTGAGCAGCAGATTGAACACTCGATCAGCTCATTACTTTCGATGAAGGTCCCCAGCGCCCATTCACGTAGCATGTTGATAATCATATCACTTAATATAGATTAATCGATGTCAGTAGAATGTAATATTTTGCACTCAAATGGCAAAAACTCTCAATCAGTACCGGAAATTACGGGTGCCCTTCTTCGCGTTGCTAGTTCTTTCTCGTTGACCGGTGGCGGGTGGAGGTACGGCGACAACCAAGCGAGCCAGTGAGTCTACCTGTAAAGCTTAGCGGTTTTGTGAGACTAGATTCCAGGTTACTTGTTGAGCTTCTGTTTTTTGCTTCTTTTAAACTGAAGTAGAAAAACCTTAAGAAAAGTTGAGAAAGCTTAAGAAATTGCAAACTTCTAGAGATGAGTTCCTTACCCATGAACCCTCATCGGTCTCAATAAGGCTTTGAATACGTTCCTCCTCATTCGGCTCATCAGAGTTCCCGATTTTCTCGACAATTATTGCACAGTAGTCTCTGAAAAAGAGAACTTACTTGGCGTCAAATTTCATTTTTTTTAAAATCTACCATTAGGTATTAACAATGTTGTGTATCATTGCCGCATGAGCTGCTTTATTTTTTCCCCTTAATTCCCCAAAGTAAAGAAAGCCGCAAACTGCAGAAGCGGCAGAAATATCAACGGCATGTACAAGCAAGAAATTTTCTTGAAGAAGCCGCGAGTACAGGGCCCGGTTCAAGAATTTGCGAATCCGTGGGTTGGGCTAGCGAATGGTAGCGACGCAGCAGGCGATTCAAGTAAGTATTGCAGCTACGCAACAATGCCTTTGAAATTGTTGCGTAGGAGCCCTCAGTTGTACGCGTGGACTCTCGCCACTTTCCTGGCCACTCATTTACCTCTGCGTTCTCTCATGTGAGTGCAAGGATTGCTTGGTTTGAGAGCAGCGACTAACAACTAGGGTGAAACCCCGTCTTTTCCAACCACATTAGGACGCTTGTAGAATCAATCGAACGGCTGATCATGAGAGTATCGATCCATTTGCGCATCGCTTCGTATTCCGCGACTTCTTATTAGAACCACGGATTCGACAAAGTCTGAGATCGGCGGGTCCAGAGCGCGCTATATGCAGTGGAGCCGGGCCAGAGACAGGAGCCCTGAACTCTGCGTCTCAACTGGCAGGCGATGAGGCCGTTGACTCATGGTCATGGATGGGTAGAGCTGCGCCCATAGATGAGTTTTAAAGGGACCAATATCTCCTGCCGGGATCTGCCCTGCACACGGCCCAGTCCGTTTTGAGTGCGAAGCATTATAATATTAGGTTGGAAAGAAAGTCCTGCAACACTTTTTCAAATTTTTGATTTTAATTTTATCTTTTTTGGTTACAACTTCTGACCGGTCTTATATCTACCATGAGTGTCCACCACTTGTCTCCATCGCTCAGAAAATTTCTTGATCCTCCTCTGCCAAAACCCAGCGGAGTGCGAGTCGAGAAAGGAGGCGACCTCACTTTCGAGTTGGAGTTGATCGTCTGATTATTTCGTTATAAAGATGATGATTAAAGGTCCAGGATAGGTAGCACTTATTTACAGCTCGACCAGGGGATTACGCTAAGAGAGGAAAGAAATCTTGCCGCAACTCCAGAATTTCTTACCGGGCTCATTTCGGATCATGGTGATTCGCAATGTCATGAAAGAAATGAATATTGTCGCGGTACGAGGGCTCTTGACGAGCTACCTCGGCCAGCTTCTGGTACTTCCACAACCTAGGCCACTGCCTACACAATGGTGCCCATAACGAAGGGTATGTAGTGGAGCTTCTGTAAGAGCCCTACCTGTAATGGAGTGTGAGGGATGCTGCTGGCTTCTTATAAAAATATCAAAAGATCGGAAGCGCTGGTAAAGGTGAAACACGCTGTATCGCTGAACGGCATGCCATTAGAAGCTATTGCAGATAGTGTCAGTCGTTGACACGAATCCATGGTTTTGTAGACATTTGTACTAGACAGTGACTCGGAGTACGGATTTGCTAGTGGTCGAGATTTTTTGAATTTTCTTGGATAACTACTCACTGCAGAACTTATATCCACCTCGTGTGAAGCCTTGAGAATGCTCTATCATTGTACCCGTCCATACAAAGTTACTATAAATGGGTTTCAGAACAAAAAAAAATTTTGGCAGGGAGTTGTTGCCCAGAACTTTTTCCAACCTAATAGATCTTTTCCTTCAGACGTATGAGTTTAGAATTGATGAGGAGAAAAACTCCCTCAACCTTCAAGTTTTCCGTAATCGCGCCCTAAAATGTGCGATTTGTTTGAGCAGTTGGCACATGATGAAACAAGTTGCTTTTACCACTTCGGAATTTGTTAAGGGCCGCTACAGAAACTGTACCAATCCAATACTAGCTGCTGCATAGCCCCAAATAAGGCGCCGCACTCAACCTCAACTTGTTCCTTGAAGAATTTTCTCATCATTTTTTTATTCGCGCCATAGGACATTGGTCATACTCTACCTCATCCTCAAGCAGCACCTCTTTTTCTTCTTTCTCCTGGAAAAAGTTTTTGTCAGATTTCCGTATCAAAAAACGTTCATAAGTTGGAAATTGGACAATAACCACTTTGCACTTGAGTAGTCGGAACATCTGCTCTTTAGGCGGGCATCGGAACTCTTGTCTTTTTCGCAGCCTCCGCTGGTGGCATGTCAGTTTGCTTGATATCCATGTACCTAAATTCAATCCCAATCCTTTCAATCTCAGCTGTCATTCTATGAAAAGTGGTGCAATTTGTCAAATGCCGCCGCTCAATGGCAAGATCACTTCAACCCAAACCGTTTGCATTGGTCTTGCTGGAGATCGCCAACAAAGCCATCTGTAAATCCGATAAGTGACTCGACACGATGGCGGAGCTGAAACTTATTGATTCATTGCAGCAATCGATTATCGATTCAGTGGCAAACCTGTGTATCGCATAAATGATCGAGGATGTTCACGAGTTGAATCTTTACGTGCTCTTCGAGTTCGATCTCCGTTAAACCCTTTTTGGTAGTACCTGAAAGGGTGAGTTGAATCTTGAGGGAGTGCAAATCACCATGAAAAATGACAAGCTACGAAAGCATGCGTTTGACCTACCGGGCTCATAAGTGGGGTCAAACGCCGCAGGATGAATCATCTGAAGAAGAGCTTCCAGTTCTGTGTCGTCAAACAAACCAATAATCAGCAAAGAGTCAAACAGCTTCATGAGAGGCCTGAAAAGCGCGCTACCTCGTCCAGTTTTAGGGAATTTAAGAATCTCGGCGTAGACTTACTCGAAGTGATTTCTGTTATCACCGCCGATCAGGTCTCGACAGTTCATCACGGCGTGACGTGTGGCGCTTTCCATAGCACTCATTACATAAGCTTTAAGAGCATCGAAATTGATGGCTGGTGGCAATAGCTTCATTTCTTCATCTCGGGTGAACCTGAAGGTATTTCTCCTTTTGCTATATTTTGAAATGAGAATGAAAAACTGCTTGGCATTATTTATTTTATTAATTTATCTACATATGTGTTTATCCATTTATTTATGTATTATTTATCTAATACACCGAAACAGTGCGTACACTGTGGAAAACAGAATATGTGAAGTGATCAGTCCATAATAAGAAAAGGAGTAATAAATGAAAACGAATACAAAATTATGTAGACGGAAAAAAAAACTTCAAACACATAGTGCAGAGACGAAGTGAGTAGACAGCCCTCAGGTCTCAAAGCGTACTGAAAATTGGGTCGAACTCTATCTCAGGAAAAGCCAGCTGGTCCCCAGCCGAGATTCATACCCCTCACTGGAATGCTTTCGGACAAAAAACGTAACAGTGGTCGATTTTCTGCTTAGACTGCGTTATATTCGAAGTTTCAGGAGCTGTTTCATCCGTAAATCACCCACACAATGATAACTATGCCCAGTCAATGCGTAAATCACCATGCTCTGTTCTTTCTAAAAATCAACTTCAGTACCAACAAAGTGACCCGATGTAACAATAGAAGCTAAAGTTCGGCACGGAATTTGATCTATGGACCGTGTGGTCAGTGATGTCGCTTGTCGCAGCCTATCCTTTCCCCTTTGCAATGCGGTACACCATGAGTGCCATATTCAAGCATTGGAGATTCTTCAAAACCGTTCTATGCACTCACTATGGTATCATGTTGAAAGTGAGATAGCGCTCACAGATAAAAGCAGTCGTCCAGGAGATATTCGCTTGTCTGTGTGCTGTGAAACTCAACAAATGAAACAAAATAGGATTCTGACTGTCGAGGTGACTTACTGTGATTTTACTGGCTCGGCGACCATAACAGGCAGCATAGAGTAGACGTCTCCCATAATTTGAGGGTATCTGGAAGTATGCCATTTATTACCGTAGCAGGGAACGCAACTTCAAATGTACCCCACTAACATCGAAATATTTTCCAATCATTTTCAATTAAGCTCCTAAAGTTTAGGAATTTTCTATTGAATTGTGAAGCGAAAAATGACGACTTCTTGCGATAGCAATCAAGACAGCCGAAGAATACGTAGGTATCATCCTTTATTTCCAGTGAACCCCAATTTAACCTCACTCAGTGATCTCAGACGATTGCATCCATTTTGAGTAGAGTATCTCTGTTTTGAGACACATTTTCTGATTTGGGATCCTGACACGAATGTCTCCCCTGCCCCTTCTTCTCTTTAGCAATGAGATTTCCATCAGGTGGTATGACCTCGAAGACGTCCAGGGAGGTCGAACTCAACAATGTTTTTTTTCCAATTTTGGGTTCGATTTTGATGAAGGTGCTTTGGATCCTTTCGAAATACCCTTGTGAAGCGAAACACCCACCGAGTCTCCGTGTCTGGATCGAATACATTTTGATTTTGTAGTTGTTCGCACAATGGAATGACGTATTCCTTGCTCATTGATTGACGAGCACTGGCATGAGTTTGTAGATGAATTGCGATGAGCAGGTCGTGGTATCCTTGACGCATAGGGCCGGACAGATCTGAACAGCAATATATCGTACACTTCGAAATCTACCACGACGATGGAGCCTTATTACGATATTTGAAATCCTAGAATTTAAAAAATTAACAAAACTTTATGGTTCAGAAATGGGGGGTAGCTACCCTCAGAAAATACCACGAGCATAATTTGCACACAAAAACATTTTTTCATATAAATCTGTTCAACTTACAGTGACTTTTCACGGCGTACATGATCTGGTCTTCGTCCACATGTGAGCACAGTATATGGGCCACCTGAGCCACCTGAAGAAAGCACGTGTTTCTGAGTGAATCAGTACGCATCAATAAGCTAATCGATCAAGCTATCTTGGGATCTTATTTCTATATTCGGGTACGGAAATTTTACGTTGCAAATAATAACTTGTTTTCAGTGAGCAACTACAGAAGACTCAAAGTATTGGGAGGAGCATTTCATTCCGGCTTGTTGTAAATCCCTACATATTATGTAAGGTTCGCTGACGAAGCCGCTCAAACCTTTATGTTATGTAACAAGGTCCTGTGAAATATATAATAGCACTGGCGTGCAAAGAGCTTTCTCTACTTTCAAAATGTATGTGGTGTCTATAGGCTGGCGGAACTCGTTGTCGGTTGCTGATGATGCTTGTGCTGCTGAAATGCTTCCTTATGTCATGGTCCTTATGTTTTATCGGCTTAAATAGACGTATTTGCGCAAGTTCGTAATTCCGCAAATTAGGCTGGTGGCCGCGTTCTTGTCTATCGACTGGAATTATAACAACAGTTTAGTTAGCCGTACAATTTCTGATTCGTAAATAGTTATTCATAACCTTTTTGGTTGGCCATGGCTTCGTGCAGGTTGCAGTTTTAATAGATTGAGTGGTTTGATCGGTGGATATAATTCGGGAGGTAAGATTAACCTGTTTTTCATAAATTTCTAGAAATGTCCGTTTAACTGGTATTCGTCGCGCGCTTTCCTGTTACGGTAGTACGTTCATGATACGACCGAATGGCGTGGCGGGCAAAGAATAACATGCACTCTATCCTATAATATCGCTGTCGTCTTAAAAAGGCAAATTAAAACATGGCGCATTCTAGGGGGTTAGGGTTGGGGCAACGTAAGATGTCAGCGTGGGTAAGTTTTCTGTTAGAATACAACGATCTCTACAGATGAAGGCAAAGAAGAGTAATGACACATTAACAACTAGTCTCATTTCACACGTTCGATAATGCGGCTAAGCTTCAGTGCCAGTCGTTTTCGGTAGTTAGTTTCGTTGCGTTTAAGACGTAGCCTGACTACACCCGGTTTGCTATCCTTACTGGACGGTAAGACGCGGGTTCGGACAGAATCGGCACAATGGACTTTTGCTACGAAAAAACCTTTGCACATCGCAGCCGAAATCGGGAATGTGAACTGAAAACAATTCAGCATTTTTCAATCTTTCTCTTCAAAATGGATGGTACAAATTAATTTTTTGAAAATATGTAAAAATTAAAAAGCAGAAGGGGAATTGAAACAATGGTAAGATATTGACGTCGAAAGTTCTGTCTAGTCCAGCAGGGCTTGATATTTACAATAAGTAATGGCGGACAATTTTTTACAATACTCAAAAATACTTGAATATTAGGACTGATTGAAAAATAGTTTGTCGCCGATACAAGTATAGTAACTAACCTTGACCCGACCAAGCTCGAACTGAAGAATCTCAACAGTCGTTGGAGTGAAGAACGCTGCGGGAAACAGCATTGCACCGGGTTCGAGCTGGAATCAACCTCATTTATAGTACATATCGGGAAACAATCGAAGAACAAGATGGCCAACCAGCTTTTGGAAACTCGGTAGAAAACTGACAATTATTCCAAACAACCCACTTTTGATGAGGGGAAACAGCATCGCACCGGCCTACACAGCGCAGTGTGGTAATGTTTCGAAACAATGCAAAATAAAACCTTAGTTATGAAGTGATTTCGTACTAGCTAGAAAATCTGATTCACGGTGGCCCTGTTCTTTTGGGGTATTGCTTTTTGCCAAGTGTAGGCCGGTGTCCAGCTCGCTTCGCTAGTAGCGAATGAGCGAATCGCTAGCGGACCGCTCGATTCGCAAAGTCTGACACCGGTCCGACCATTAGAGGCGTTACTGGGATGTGGTCGTCGCACAGCTTCAATTTTGATCAAGTGACCTGTGACTGGCCAGAAATCCTGACTATGTGACGAGCTCAGCTTGAAAATTGAGGGACCTTCATAGTTAAATGAATTCGAATTTCGTGATTAGTCATTGGACCTCTTCTGACAGCTGGGTCAGCAATCGCAAAAAAGGTCCAAGTGTCGGCCGGTGTCCAGCTCGCCTCGCTAGTAGCGAATCGAACGAATCGCTAGCGAACCGCTCGATTCGCAGAGTCCGACACTGGACCTTCAAGTTTCCCCACATTTTTTTCAAAATGGGTGAAGAGCGAGTCAGAAGCTCAAGACTTGTATCACCGCACGCCCCGAGCGCCAGAGGTCAATCACTGTTCTGATATCTGTGTTGCGCTCCTCGCTGTGCTCCTATCTCCTTCTGTCGTTCTCTCGCCTCGGCGCCCAAATTCTGCTTGACGGCCAGCTTCACAGACTTGCTCAGAAAACAAAGGGTCTCATTTCAGTATTCAGTAGTTTCCCTACATTTTTCTCACTGACAGGTCAATTAGTGTTTACTATTTTGTAGCGATCCTGATTACCAATTTTTTTCTACCACGAAATGCACCTTCATGCATGATTTCATCCAATATAGTCCTTCGGCCCATACGCCTGGCAGCCCCAAATCCATCAGCACCTACGCATGAGGGCAACTGTTTCCTCATGAGTCACTTTTTCCTCGCTTTTTAGTTTCCCTTATAGAACGAACCAAGAAGGTATGCAGAATTCTCACCTTGAACCTCACTC